CTCAATGGCACAACCACTCATACTTTGTGCACGTTTCACGGGTGTTGTCATACCCTCATGCTTAACCCGCGTTGTCACGCGCGTTACTCCTTGCATTGCGATGCACTTTTCTATCGACGTCGCGATTGTCTGCATTCATATCGTCTCGAAAATATGTTGTTAACAATGTTGTGCTTGTTAAGTCTCTCTCTTTTCAGGGCACGATATTGTATGTACGGTTCATTTGAGGCTGGTACGACCAGACGAACCGCGCAGGTATTGTATCTTCTCCGTGTGAGACGTGGCGAGAATTGAATAATTCTCTGCATTCTTAACTGCATGAAATGTAGTTGTTGCTTTGCATCTTGCTTAAAACTGTTGATCTATTGTGAATATGTGCTTCATTACAGCTTGCTGCATTTGCATGATCATTGAGATACCTTCGGCTTCTTGCATTTGTCGGTTGCATTTTGCCCCTCCTGCGGGCACGCTGCGGGCGCATCTCTGTTTACTCGCCTGTTTGTCTAAGTCTTCGGCCTTGTCAAAAATGGGTCGTCTCTGGCTTGACATTCACTCCCGTCACTTATGACTTCCAAGTTTTGTCAAAGAGGGGCAACTGTAGACACCTCATTTTGACCGACCTTAAGACTCAGATGTCAAGTTGAGCACTCGGTGATATTGCATTATGTGCTCATTCAGAAGTTTCAGAGTCCCGGCTGCAAGCCTTGCCTCCGGGCTTCCGGACTCTTTCGTGCCTTGCCTCCGTTTGCGAACCAGGCTCTATTTTCTCTTCCGAAGGGAGAGAGAGGTCTCGTGGATCATCTCTCAGTAGCCGTAGGCTATGTTTCGTGGTCGTAGGCCATTTTTCCCATTTGGAGCCCGGTTTCCGTTTTTTCGGAGCCGACGGCGTGTGCCTCGGTTCGGACCGCCTAACCAACTCCGTTTGCTCTGATTTTTGGCATACACCTTATTTCCTCCCTTTTGAGGAACACTGTGGCTCGAGAGACCAACTTCGTGGTCAAATGCCACCTCCGGTGCTTAACAGCCCATTTTCGGGGCCCCGGGCCGCGCGTTTCGGTCCCCGAACCTCCGTTTTGCATCCGTTTTGGTTCATTTTTGGTGGAGACCTTATTTTCATTGTTAGAAAGCTTGTAGAGGGTGGGAGGCCAGCAATTGTTCTGAAAAGCCAGCTTTATTTCTTCATCGCTCTCCGTCGCCCTTTTCCTCACTAAAAGCTAATGTTAATGCAAGTGATGTGCATAACAATGCAGAATAAATGTGGACTCGAATGCGAATTTGTCGTAAAACGACGAGCAAAGAAATGCAAGTTTTTGATGAGGGCGACTCGATTGCGACCTCCGGTTTACCTCCCGGAGGGGTTGCAACATGTTCAAAAAGGATACATCTCACTTTTGACGAGTAACGATGAGAAACGCATCGAAAGTTGAAGATGAAGTTCCGGTAGAGCGATTTCGCGACGGAATGTGCACTTCTCTTGTACTTTTTCAGGTCCTGGGGACTCCAATCCTCCCCAAAATTTGCAGAGAGCTTGGTGGGCACCTGGGGAACACCACCGGCCAGCTTTATTTCCAAGGGGAGGCCACCGGCCAGGGTTGAGGGAGAGGGGTGGCTGGCCTGCCCGAAAAGGTGGCTGGCCTGCCACTTTTCCAAAACCGTGGGCAGTTTGGTCTTTTTTCCCTCATTTCTTTAAATCCATTCGGCCAAACACTTTTTCCTCACAACTCCAGCTCCGAAATTACCTCCTCTACCTTCCTAGAGCATTTTCTCTCTCAGATCTGTGCTCTATACGCGTTTTCCAACGCCCCACGCAAGTTGTTTTTGCGAAATCTTTCAGTTTTCGTCACTTTGGACCGATTAACTTTTGATTTCGGTGCTTCTTTTCTTATTTTCACCACTTGAGGTAAGTTTGTCTCAACATTTGGAAGATTTTCTCGGGAGTTGACTTTTTTTGATTTTTTCATTTCCCGAGAGTTGACCTTTGTTGACTTTTCCCAATTTTGGCTCATTTTTGCTCCTTTTTGCAGATTTTCTGAAATGGCTGGTCATTTTCCTAATGGTGGAGGTCCTCCGGGCGCCGAGGATGATCCCGATATCATGGCTCTGCCTCCGAGGGTTCGACCCTTCATACCCAAGAGATACGACCCTCCGACACATGTGCTCCCCCTGGCAGTTTTCTACCATTTTACCGATTTCGATGATCGAGCACCCGGGGATCTTTTATTGCGGGAGCCGTAGTCCCACCTCTCGCATCAGGCGCAGGAGGTATGTTCCTCGCTTTCATATTTTCTGCGATGTAACCTGCATTTTCCATGCATTTCATGTTATGTTTATCCGCTCATTTGAGTGCACCGCTTGTTTAGAATGCTTTAGTCTATGACACCGTATTCTGTTTGCATCTTGAACACATAGTTCAATCACTTGAATTTCTGAACACACAGTCCATGAGTTGAAGGTGAACACACAACACACACACTTGTTAGAAAGTTGAACACGCAGCCCAAACTTTGAATTTCCGAACACACAGCCTGAATGTAGGGTGCACACACAGCACACTCTTGACAGAAGGTTGAACACGCAGCCCAAACTTTGAATTTCTGAACACACAGCCCAGATTAAAGTGAACACGCAGCCCACTGATTTTGAAATTTGAACACACAGCCCAAACACTTGACTTTCTGAACACGCAGCCCAAGTTGAAGGTGAACACGCAGCACACCCTTGTTGAGAGTAGAACACACAGCCCAAACTCTAAATTTATGAACACGCAGCCCAAGTTGAAGGTGAACACGCAGCACACACTTGTTGAAATTTGAACACACAGCCCAAGTTGAAAGTGAACACGCAGCACACACTTATTGAGAGTAGAACACACAGCCCAAACTCTAAATTTCTGAACACGCAGCCCAAGTTGAAGGTGAACACGCAGCACACACTTGTTGAGAGTAGAACACACAGCCCAAACTCTAAATTTCTGAACACGCATCCCAAGTTGAAGGTGAACACGCAGCGCACACTTGTTGAAATTTGAACACACAGCCCAGATTGAGGGTGAACACGCAGCCCACTGATTAACAGGTTGAACACGCAGCCCAAACCTTGAATTTCTGAACACACAGCCCAGATTGAGGTGAACACGCAACTCACTGATTTTGAGATTTGAACACACAGCCCAAACACTTGATTTGCACGCAACTCATTGCATTGTATCTATTTTTGTTTGCACACAGCTCGTACATTTCATTTGCATACAGCTCATTTATTTCATTTTGAGACTGAATGTATGTATTCATTCTGAATACAGGTGACCTCCCGTATAGCACGAGAATATGGCTCTGTTGCGACTAGAGAGTGGTATGCTGAGCTTCCGAAGGCTGTCTGGGATTTGGTTGACTTGGCAAGGTTTGGGCCCTTCTGCTCCAGGATATCTCGTTGTCCGGCTAGTAGGACACTGATGGGTGCTTTAGTGGAGAGATGGTGGGACACCACCAACTCCTTTCATTTCTCTGCCACTGGGGACATGACTATGACCCCATTTGACTTCGCCGTATTGACCGGCCTTGATATGGGAGGCTGGGCCATCCCATATGACGAGGACATGGGCCAGTAGGAGGCCGCCTGGATCTATTTATTGGGAGCTTGCCCGCCAGTTGACAGATCTTCGGGCAGGGTCCGATATACTTGGTTTTCCTTCCACTTCCAGAGGGTGGAGATGGAGCCTGAGACTCCTGAGGAGGTAGCCCAGTATACCCGCGGATTTCTGATGTTCCTCTTTGGGACCACTCTGTTTGCCGATAGGGGGAACACTGTCGAACTTTATCTGTTGAGTGCCCTAGTGGACCTATCACAGGTTCGGCAGTATGATTGGAGTGGCGCTAGCCTAGCCACTCTTTATTGCTATATGAGCGCGACCTCCCGCGGACGGGGGAACATACTTGGCGGTTATTGGAGAGCCTGGGAGGTACTTTCTGCCCCCTTTGATTTACATTTCTTCTTTCATTCTCTGTACACTGCACACACGGTACACTTTACATTTTGTACCTCTGTACTTTGCCCTTAGCATTTTGTATTTACAATTTGCACTCAGCATTCTGTATTCTGATGGCTACTGCCCTATTTTCCACAGCTATGGATTTATGCGTACTTCCCGACACTAGCCCCGGAGCTCGAGGTGGCGATGCCTCCCGTGACCCCTTACTTGCTGGTATTTGAGGGCCCATACCGACCGAGACCTCGGGAGTCTCTTCTCTATCTACGGCAGTACTTTGACACAGTACGGCCATCAGAGGTATTGCAGAACTCTCAATTCTTTATGTTTCCAATCTTTGATTTATCTTGCGCATTTACGATTTCTGATTAGCTTATGCATTGGTTACCTGCAGATCGCATGGCAGCCTTGGGCGCCTTTGGGTAGTGACCTCCGATTCCAGTTTACCGGAGCCTGGGGTTCCTCTCGATACAGGATCCTGTTAGAGGGGCCGGTTGGTAGGGCCTGGTTTTTAGGGGAGCGCTTCCTGCGCCAGACATGGGGCTACCCCGTTTAGGATGTTCCCTTAGCACCCCCAGACGACATGCGGACCGCTGATAGGCTCCCTCCCCAGGGTGTTGTCGACGCTAGGTTGGGTACTGATGCATTTCTTCATCTGGAGCAGGGAGAGTATGCGACTTATCGTCACACATACTTGATGCCTTCGTTGACAGGAGTCCGTACCCCGACGAGGAGATCTGCTGGTATGCCCTCATCGGGCCGGGCTCGGGCCGCGGACGTCCCTTCCACTAGCAGGGCTGGTACATCCAGAGGTGGGGGTGGATTGGTTCCCCTGATTCCTCCGACTCATCATCATCCTGGGTGGCCAGACATGCCGACCGAGCTGACGGGATGGCGATTCGGGACTCCCTACTCGATTCCGATAGAGCCTCCCATGTCTGACCACAGATATGTCAGAGATCCTGATTCGCCACCGGTATGCTTTACAGCTTTGATTTATCACTCAGATACTTGGACATTCATTCCTTTACTGATATTTTGCATTTGTATCTGCAGCCTCCGGTCGAGTATATGGATGAGATTCTCGGGATGATGGCCGCACTCGAGGGCATGGTCTTATAGAGAGAGGCACAGTTGTCCATCATGGGTGTCCAGGTACTCTTTAATTTTCTCGCATTTATCATACTTCTGATGACATGTTGAACTTGATCATTTCACTGCATTAGTAGGTTGCCTGTGTAGAGTACATCTGACACACACCACATTCATATACTGTATCTGCATGCACCCTCATTTCATGTAGTTTGCTTGCATCTGTATCTGATACACACATTTGAGCTGATGTATTCAAACTGCACTTTTTATTTTCAGATGCCTCCAGTATATCAGCCACAGACCGGGCCATCCAGGCCTTCTCGGGGAGCCGGGCCATCTCGACCTTCTCGGGGAGCCGGGCCATCTCAGCCTTCTCGCGGGGCCGGGAGAGGGGAGTCGTCCCACAGACGCAGAGCACATATCGTAGAGGAGGAGCCCGATGAGGACGAGGAGGAGGAGGAGGCTGCAGATCGTCAGTCAAAGACATCTGCTGACAGAGAGGAGGGTTCCGACCCTGGTTCCGGGGATGGAGGGGAGGCTGAGGAGGATCCTGAGGATGACAGTTCCGACTCAGATGGTGCCGGTGGTGCAGAGCCTGTTCCGTAGAAGAGGACGAAGAGGGCCTCTTATTCCTGCTCTTGAGAGCAATGGTGCAGCTGTTTCCTGCTTTATTTACCTTTTTACTAGTAGTTGTAGCACATTGTACACTATTAGACAGTTTTATGCTCTGTAAAACTTATACCTTTGTTGTAAAATGTTGTAACAAAAGAAGCATGATGGAATGAAACAGCTTTTTGAAAAAGTTTTTTACTTTATATTCTCAGTATCGCATCGCGTCATTTTGCACAAAAATGAGATTGAACGGTAAATGTGCATTGTGTATTTGCCAAGTCAGGTAGCAAACCGAGACGACAAACTAAACAACCTAACTTACTAAGAAACAACAAAACCTCAGCAAGTTTACAACTCGATAAGCAAAACATAACAAAACTGATTAAACAAGGAGTAACAACCTTGACAAACAAAACTCGACAGCTCGACAAAACTTAAAAACTTGATAAACAAGGCGATTCAACAAACAAAACAACAACTCGATAAGCAAAACAATAACTTGATAATCAAAACAATGACTCGATAAGCAAGACTTAACAACAAATCGATAAACAAGGTGCATTTCGGACGATCTAGGCGACAGAACGCATCCAAAATTGAGGAAAACTCGCGCCTTCAACACTCCTGATACATGGAAATGCTAGGAACTTCCTTCTAGAGGGTAGAACAAGGCCAAAGACACAGATTGCAGCATGGCCGACCACCTTTGGGAGCTGGCTGACCAGCTTTTTGCATTTGAGGGGAGAGGGGTGGCTGGCCTCCCAGAAAAGGTGGCCGGCCGGCCACTTAGCTCAGCAACCACCAGTTTTTCGACACGTGTCCCCCCGAACAGTGCCTTATCCCCTTTAAAGGTCCTAGCTCCGTGGCTCATTCATTTCATCTCAGTTTTGCACCAAAATGGAAGCGTTTCTCGTCGAAAATCTCATAGCTTGGATTGCTTCTTTAGACGGCTTAGAAAAGTTGAACTTCCGGGGCTTTGGCTTGAATGCACTATTCACGCTGAACCGTACTCCGCTACATCTTCCCTTCCTTCATGCCGCGGCAAGGTTTTGGAACCCGGTAACACATGTCTTTAGCTTCGGCGGGCAAGAGGTATGTCCAACTTTCGAAGATTTTCAAGCTTTGATGGAATCTGAAAGTTATGAAGAGATCTTGCCTCAGTTTCGCTTTGGTCACGCCAAGCTTTAGGGCGGATGTGTGGAGTCACCACGCATGACGCTCGGTCTCTGATCTGTAATGGGGAACTGGACATCCTCGGATTGATTTATCGCTTTTCTGACGCCGGTGACCGTGGCGACCATCATTGGCAAGGTTTCCGACAACATGCCCTTTGCTTGTGTATGCTATCTCACTTTCTACTTGCATTGGGCTTTGGTGGATCTAGCATTCACCTAATTGAAGTTGCTCAAGGCTTGAAGGATGGAAAGAGTTGTATTGCAATGACACTGGATGAGACGCTGATGGGCTTGGATGCTTTCCATCGCCGGGAGATGACCAGATTTGTGGGGAGTCCACTACTGCTACAGGTAATGTTTCCCACCCAATCTCACATATGTATTGCTCACATCACTCGGCCCTCAGGCTCGGTTTTTCTCACAAAACCCTTGTCTTACTTTTCTCTCATCGTACATCACTCTATTCTTCATTCTCTCATTTTTCATCCCTTCCTAGGTATGGTTGATGGATAAATTGCAGGTTGTGAACTCTTGCCCAGCCTACTCAGCTCGCGGCTACTTCTTCCGACAACGCCTAGTTGATGCCCTTGATGAGGGATGGTGGTTCAACTGGATGTGCAATTTGTCTGCAGATCGCGTCGCCTGGCACTGCCCTTGGCTCAATCTCCCGGCAATGAGCTATAGTATGTTCCGGCAGATCGGGATCCAGTTGGTTGGTCTGACTCACTGTGTATTCTACTTTCCGTTTCGGTTCCAACGCCAGTTCGGTCATGATCAGACTTGTCCACCAGAGGGGATAGAGTATCCAGCTTCATTCCCGGTTCGAGGTGCACAACTTGCTCGATATGCCACGGCATGGAGGACGAGAGAACTCCTGGCCCCCACTCTCACTTTCAGTTATACTTTGTCTGACGAGTGCTTGGATTGGCTCAACGAAGAGGCACAGATTGGGCCCAGCTCGGTATCAGAAGCTTCGACCAGCTCTGGGAGGGGGTGTAAGAACACCTGACTTGACTATGCCCCAGATTTATTGCTTTATTAGTACTTCCAAGTTTTCTTTATGAATGTAATAAAAAGCAACTTCGATCGTATGCAAGAGCAGGAGAACTCTGTTTTGAGATTAATGAAATTGAAGGTTGTGGTACTGAAATTTTTTCTCTTTGGTCCAAAAATAATCTTAGTTGTAAGAAGATTAATTGAACAAAGTCAACTTTTATTAAAACTTTTCAAAACCATTTTCGATATGGATCAGAACTGGACACGCTTGAGATCTGTCACTGAGATGCACAACCCCATATCCCTGCAGCTGGAAAGTTGCCCCTAGTCTGAATAGTACCCCGGCACTGCACAGCAACGGAAAGTTGCCCCTAGTTTGAAAAGCACTGCACCGGAGATTCCAATGGATGCTGGTAGACAAAGATGACTGAGATGATCAAATGGACAAAGTTGATCGGGGAAAAGTTTATGGCTGAACTTCATGATGAAGTTGCCTACGTATCCCGATGATGGGAATCAAGCCTTATGTAGTTCAGGCATAGGTTCACTCGAGTGTTTTCACTCTCCTTTTACGCTCTAACTTTTGCCAAGGCCGCCCTTTGCGGGTTTTCAACCTTGCGAGCTTAGTTTTTATATTTTCCAATTTTTTTATGCTCTAACTTTTGCCTAGGTCGCCCTTTCGGGTTTTCGGCCTAGCGAGCCTCTCAGGGGTAATATTTCTTCAACTTGTCCATGTTGATCGGTTGTGAAAATTCTAGGCCATCTAGGTCCATCAGAACCACAGCTCCACCTGACCAGATAG